ATCTTTATGGTTATTCCATATACGCTTCATATATACCCATAAGACGACATAGAGTGAAGAATACTATTACATCTCTGCCGGATGAAAATAATAATGGAATTGGTTATTTTAATAATCGGATTGTGCAACAGTTTTTAAATTTTATATTATTTAACTTTCATTGTTTGTTAACGATTTTTTAAAAAAAATATTCAATTTAGTAACTAATGTCTGCTATTTACATTTTTTTTTTAAATGATTTATTAAAAATTTGTGGATGCAATTGTTGTTATTTGAATGTGATTACGTAAAGTGTAAGATAAATGTTCAAGTACTTTTTGCAATTTTGGTTAACCTTTAGAAAAAATTAAACCTTTCATGTATGAAAAATATTTCAAGCTCAGATTGGCTCACATGGGATGAAGTGAGCGGAACGACCTACATTTGCAAACAATCGCCTGTGGGCTTAATTTCTGTACTATCAAGCGACAACATTATGCTTTTTCTCTTTCTAGTGGGAAGAAGTTTTTTAATTGTGTTCCAAAAGTTTCTTGATTGCCTTAAAACACTTTGAAAACACTTAAAAGGAGAAAGTTTATTTCAAAGCAAAATAATTTATTTACTGAATAGAATCTGATAGTGAAATTAACAGAATTATAATTGACATTTTTATTTTTAAAATACGAACATCGTATATCATACTTCTCTAGCTTTGGATCAACTAGCAATAACTTAAAATAAATTGTTTGTGACCACTAACATCTTTTTGTGTTTACTATAATTTACGAGATATTTAATTATACATTTTGGCTCTTACATAATTTTTGTTCCGCGAAAGACACGGTGGACAACCGTGTCTTTTATTGATTGTCGTACTCGAACTATATACATGCTTGCATTTTGTTTCACCCTAGTTCACAAATCAGTCATATCAATCGCTCCAGTAAGAAAGGCTCCGTGCCTTTGTATTTTAATAAATCATTACTTATTTACTGTGAAATTAAATTTCAAAAAAAATATTTTACATATTTATTCATATACATATTTTCATAAACATAAATTTTATTACAAAAGTCAAAAAAGAAAGAAATCAAGAGATTGTCACCAAAATATTAATATTTTAATATGTTATGTATATACAAATATAAACAGAATCATCTAAATTTAAAGCAAAGGAAAGTGGATCCTTTATTTTAAAAATGAAGTAAACAAATAATTTTTCACTTCTTTGTTTTTTTCTTTAGTGATTTTTATAGGCTTATAAAGATGATTAATTTTATCAATTACAAATGGGATTCATAACAAGACTATTAAAAACTTATCCATTTTGTAGGAATAAATCCAAAAACAATAGTAATGTTTTCATAATAAAGTAAGTGCAGAACTTATGTTGAACAAAAGCGCTTTATTTTTAAAAGGTTAAATTATTCATTCGGAGTCGGTAAACACGTTGGCGCCGTATTCTCTCTAATTGGTTCCTTTAGCGGTTTTATTTTATCCCCATTTTTGTGCTCAAATTATTGAATATCCATAATAACAAGCACAGTATAAGTTCTAATTATAATATTTTAGTAGTAGGTGCAGAAACAAGCTAGCAGTGCTTACCAGTTACTCGATTCCACCGAGTTCATATTTAATTTTTGGAGCGATTTGTACGTTGATACAACAAAATCCCAGAGAATTTACAAAATTTTAGTGCCGCAAATTTCAAAAACTTTACTAAAAAGGTTATTAGAATATTAAGAAAATGATACTCTATCAAGCTATACGTAATTTGTATTGTGCGACCAAAAATTCTTGATAAGGAACACCGACTCCTCCTGGGGATAATTCGCGAGGCTATTGAAATAAATAAATAAAGTATCCTAATTTGAACAAAGAAGATAGTTGGGTACTACCATATGCCTGGCATCCTTAATTAAATCCCAACCCAAGCATACACCTGAAAGACGTAAAGATACCATAAGTTCATAGTGAGTAAATTGGAGCAAAAATTAAAATATTTTAATCTCCAGGTACCCGTAGTTAATATGACAATGGGACGTCAACACCCCGTGACAATGGGTGCTGTAAATTACTCGAAACGTTGAGAATATAAAAAAAAATAAATCTAGCGATGACAATCTAATTTTATTTAAAAATTATATTATATTACTATCACTAAAAATGTTATTTCATACTTCATGGATCGTACGAATGTTACCAATTATATAATACCAGTCTAATGTATAACCAATGCATAGATAGGCACGCAATTGATTACACATCGTGCTATCATATTTTTTTATAAAAATAATACTTTAATTACTAGTTGGCTGATATAAGCCTCAGTTTTGTGATCTAAAATAAGAAAAATGCGATCAAATTTTTATAAAAAAAATGGATAAGATGCAGAAATCAATTTACTTAGGTTTGTATCGAAAATTGACTTCCGCTAGAATTAAAATAAAAAAAACTGATGCTATAAAGTAAAAATAAAGTCATTTTCGAGAATTACTTTTTTAAGTGTTCGAAGTACTATAGTCAACCAAATCTAAGAAACACATTTTGACAGCTGTCAGACTTATTGCACCAGGCATGCCAACCAAAAAATTGGAACGTACAATATTCGATTCTTAAAAAAATCGATATCGATTATTAAGAGTTGGTAATCATTTACAGTTTGGTATGAATAATATCACAATAAATTTAAAACAGATAATTTAAAACACAAGATCTATCGGTTTCTACGTATTTGTTGTTACTGCTTATTTCTAGAGGCACATTTATAAAATTTAAGATTAAACTGGATTAGAAAAATTTATTCAATCACTTTCAGTACAACTAATTGAGCTGTTGTTGTTTAGATAAATTATTATTTGATTTTCAATAATGCAGTCAAAATTAATGTCTCTTTAAAAGTCATCCATTAAAAAAATTCTACGACTTTTGCCAAATGATCCTTTGTGACATGGGCACCTGCTTCAACGAATACATATAGAAGAAATAGTCCAAAAAGTTAAATTCGAGTCACAAAATAAGAAGACGAACACAAAATTACAAAATAACGCACAGTAAGCTTGCGTTATAGCGGGATATTTAAATAACGTAGTGGTATTTTCAGCGCGGCCCTGTATATGAGTTTTTTTGCCTACACAAATTTACGTTAACAAATTAAAAAAATAAACTTGTTGATTCATGTAATTTAAGGAATTTTAAAAGAAAAAATAAATTAAACAAATAATACATTAAAAAATTATGATTCGATTATTTAAATTTTTTTTGCCGATTATTCGCATAACAATGAATTTTAATCATCCAAACACTACGGTAATATATATAGCGACATATCATTGAAATGACGTCAAGTAAAAAAGTTGATACTGGTTATTTTTTAATATTTTGCTTTGTTTGAAAGATTCAAATTTAAATTAGTGATAAAAAAACTATACACGTTGTAATGAATTATAGATAACTTCATAATTCTTCGGATTTACGTAAAAGATTATTTAAAATAGTGTGAGTACGCTTATGCAAAATTATTGCGGAATGATTAATGTGAAACGTCAAATGGTATTTGCTTAGTTGATATTTTGGTATGAATTCTTCGTCCCGACATCTTGTCGGGCTGAATAAATATATAAAAGGATATGATAAATATGCATAAGTATATATTCAATATACTAACAAAAATAAATAAATAATACATAAATAAATAAAAGCCCAACCAGGTGGAAGCCTTCGGCAGGGGAGACCAAACGGTCGAGGTATAGGGGGAAAGGGAAAGAAGCCGGCGGACGATGGGGGCGGTATCGATGGGCACCGCCTTTTGCATTTAAGCCCGGTGCGGTCCGTCACGGAGTCCCGGTTGCCTCAGATGACCCGAGAGGCTGACCGGGATTAGCCTATTCGCAGAAACGACTACAGAAACAATTTCAGTCGGCAGAGCACCCCACATGTTGGTCACCTCGTGAACCAGGTCCAGTTATTTTGTTTTCTTATCTGATACGGCTTTGATTAGGTTTTAATCATACGGAATGGTAATGTGGACTAAAAATATCCTTGACTGTGCCCTGTACATCAGGACAATAACAGGTTTATTTGCAAGAATAGTCCTGTCCGTGATGATGGCCCAGTCCCAGTAGAGCCTGGTACGGTCATTTCGAGCACGGCTTGTGGCAAGAACTTATAATAAGGCAGTTTTCGATCCATGAAACCATATTTTAAAGCCAGCCACTGGTGTAGATTCCTGGCTACTAGGTTATGTCTGTGCAAGTACTCGGAGTTAGAAAGCGCTGAACAACCAGAGATGAGATGCCTAAGTGACTCAGCGGGATTGCGACAAGCTCAACAGATGTCGATGGTGCCATCCTTTAGAATGCATCTCCGATAGTTGTTGGTCTTAGTAACCTGATCCTATATTGCACAGACAAAACCCTTGGTTTCCCCAAAGAGGTCACCAAACCGACGAGTTCCTGATTTCTCCAGTTCGCGGCTCTACGGACCGCCTCAGCCACGTCTTCCGGCGTTATGGTAACAGGGTCCATAGGCTCACACTCACACTCTGGCTCACCACAACTTCCATCCAATGGCCCTCTGCACTCTGGTTTACGGGCTCTGACCAAAGCCCGCGCCAGAATGCGACAGTGTCGGCCTGACCCGGTACGGGGACCGCTTCACATAATTTTGGTCGCTCCAATGATTTATAGAGTCTCTTCTAATCACTCCGTAAGAGACGATTCTGGTTGAATCAACTTAAACTCTCGGTATATCTCCAAATTCTTTTACCTCAAGCAGAAATACTTTGCTTCAGGTCATCGATGCGCTCCGTTAGTTTTTACTTGATATCTGGCTGGGACAAAGTGATATTTTCCCCGGAAATGCGATTCTAACAGTGCGCATAACTCTCAGCCTCTTATTACCTGACCTGAAGCTTGTCAGTCTGTCGATGAGGGCCCTTGCCCTTTGCGATACGATCCTCAATTTCTTTTTTTTTTCAAGCAGCGGCAAAAATAATTGAGTGCGTCTCGCAAAGCTCCCGGCTAGCTTCCAAATAGATCATCATCATTGGGTAACGAGCCCGCACGATAGCCCGATTCCGCTTGCTTAGGTGTATGTAGGAAAACCACGGGCAATCTTCGAGAGGCGTTCTGTGCGTTTCCGACATCGCCTCTTCCAATATGATTCCTCATTTTCTCTAGTTCGTGGGGGACTATGCCATCGTCGTCTGAATCAACCACAACTGGTATATCCACGACGGCATCCACGTATGCAGGTTGCCTTGCAATTACTGGCAACCACATTCCTAGCCGTAGCATTTTTATCCGATGAGGGAACAGCCTCACGTTGTAGTCGTTCGAGTTCAGTGTCACCAATTGGAGCGCATGATGTAACAAGTTACGTCTGCCAGGTTTTGCTCAGTGACTGTAAGAGATGGCTCCAGCTTAGCCAAAAAGCGATGCGTCCGAACCAGATACGCTAACCTTCTAGTTTCTTCCCCTTTTGCCCTTAAGTACGACTGAAATGCGTTTGCGTTCATCATTTATGTTCACTGCATACAACATGCTCCACTGGTGGTGGGTGCCGCTTGCTGAGTCCGAGAAAATCCAGCAGACACCAACCCTTCTTTTGGGGTTAATGGATGTGGGGGACTTCTAGGTGGTCTTCGCGTCGCCCCCAGCGCCAGCTCTAGATGCACCCTGGTGACCTCCAGGCAGCGGCCCCCTGCGCATGTGTTTTTTCCATTATCCATAATTTGGGCGCCAATTAACGGGCGATGCCCAGGCCCGGCACCGTATCATCTGCGGCCATAAGCACAAACGTGCCTTTGCACCTATAATTGTGCTAAGGCACGGCACTCACAACTCTTGTCAAGGCGCTGACTGACTGCGCTGACTTAGCAGTTTTGTCACTTAACTGTTACGTCAACGGGCGATGGGGTCGTCAATTCCCTACTCCTTTTTTATTACTTATTACTATTATAATTTTTAAAGTATGTTTGCTTGGATAGTAGTCACGCTTTAACAGCGAGATGAATTCTAATGGTTTTTTGCATAGGTGTCGATTTTGTGGTGAAATACGACGTAGGTTACTTTATAACAATTGTTTCTAAAAATTATATATATATATATATATATATATATATATATATATATATATATATATATATATATATATTTCTCTCCTCTCTCAGTCGGTCCCTCATGACTGAGGATCGTGATCACCATCATGGAGAGTAAGTTTATTGTTAATGATCACTCTCCACCGGGTCCTATCGCTGGCCATACGGAGAGCGTCGTAGAAATTTCGCGAACCGACTTCTTTGACCTGGTCGGACCACCGGGTAATGGAGATCTACCTCTGTTCCTTCTTCCCTCAACGTTTCCAACAACTATCAATTTCTCAATACTTTCGTCCCCGCGGCGAGAGATATGACCAAAATAGCTGAGGATGCGCTGAAGACATGTGGTGGAAAGACGCGTCTTGATCTTGAGCTGTGATAGGATTGACACACGTTTGTGCGCTTCGCAGTCCACGGTATTCGCAGCATTCGCCTCGAGTACCACATTTCGAACGCATCAATTCTCTCCCTTTCTCTGATGCGTATAGTCCATGTTTCCACTGCATAGAGAAAAATTGGAAATATAAGAGTATATACTAGGCGTAATTTAGTATTATTTGTTATGCCTCTGTTCCTCCAGATGTTTGTTAGCCTGGTCATCGCATCAAAAATTATATAAACTTAGCGAAATGGGTGGATAACAGATGGAAGTATTAAATATTGAAACGTAAAGATATAAACTCCAGTGTTTTATTGATTTTTCACAAGTTTCACATGGTTTAATAGCCAGTGAGCGTGGCGGACTTACAGTATTATAATAAGCTTCACTTTTTTCAGTTAGTTCCCTATGCCTGAGTTATATGAGATGGGGACTCTTTAGTTTGACCGATGTTTGGTATAGAGATGTTCAGGTGTGAAAAAGACGTGAAGGTAATAGGTATACTGCCTTGACATGTCGAAATATTCAATAAATGTTACTGAAAAATAATATTGGCAGACAACTGGGACAGTTTCATGGCAGATAGCTTGACAAGTACATATATTTAGCATGGAAAACATAATTATATTGTGGGTCGGTCTCCCGGGCGCACAAAGAACCGCAGTGGTGTCCATAAGCTCGTACTACAGCACTTGCTGTAATCCAGTCTTTAGATTAAATTTAAATATCTACTACATTAATTAAAATACTTGTTTTTAACTGATCCTTAGTAAAAATCACCATCATCATTATAATTATCATTACAGCCCTTCACAAGTCCACTTTTAAACATAGCCCCCCCCCCCCCGAAGGAATGCCACAAAGCATGGTCTTTAGGCACCTATATGCCTCGCTTTCATGCATGCCTTATCACGTCACCACTCCATCTAGTGGAGAAGGTGGACCGCCCTATACTTCGTTTACTGAAACAAGGTTGCCAATCGGGAACTTCTTTCCCATTGGTTCTTTGAGCTATATAACTAGCCCATTGCTACTTCAACTTACTAATCCGTTGGACTATGTTGGTTTCTCTAGTTTTAACGGTGATATCCTCTTTTCTATTCAATAATATTCAAATTTAAACGTCAGTTAATAAATTACGACGAAGTGAATAATGCTTTTGCTAAGTTAGTCAATTGATTTAATGATAATAATTTGCTTTTAGTACTCCTGCTTATAGCGTGATGCTATTTTACTGGAGCGACCAGACCATGGCTGGGATCTGGCACCGATAGGCACTACAGAGGACGGAATAAAAAGTTCCATACCCTGAAGTACCACATCAGCGACAGAATCAACAACAACGCTAGCATCGTCCAGCGAGAAGCAAATCCGCCCCCAAGGGTAGGATGCAACAAAATACTGCGTCCCATCATAATCGGCCGACCTACAGTGCCAAACACGGAGGCAGTCTGCAGAATGCAACCGCGATTTAAGCGTGAGTAGCATCACAATCCGGACAAAATAATGGTCCAACGAGCGTAAAGGGCCGTCGACGGAAACCTGATATCCGTCCAGATGAGAGGTCAACATAAGGTCCAACAGTGAAAGTCTATGATCTTCCACATCTGAAAACCGCGTAGGCGCAAGTCAGATAGTTCGCGCAGTTATGTCGGACCATATGCCAAAGCAGTCATAAACAGATCTCCCCGCACGATCGGTTAAACGTGAACCTAGCCATTCGACGTGGTGAGCGTTAAAATCGCCAAGGTTCACGATCTCTGTGGATGGAATCTGCTGTAGCACGGTATCTGTAGCCATTTGGACGTGGTCAAAAAGTCGGTTTGTTTTGCTATTACCGCTATAGGCCCTATAGAGGCACCTGTAGACGCGCGGATGGTCATCCCTGTCTACGCGCAGCCACAGAATTGACAGATTCATACCTTCAATACTGCCTAGGCGTTGAAAATGGATGTTTTCTCTGACGTATACGCAAATTCCAGCCCGGAGCACAAAGGACAGTTCTTATTTGGGTAGGAGAGATATAAAGTATCAGTTAAAGTGGACAACCGAGTCTCGGTTAAAAAGAGCAAGGTCGGCTTCGCCGTCTCCAGATGTTAGTGGACAGCGTTAAGGTTGGAATGAAGTCTCCTGATGTCCTGATGTTGCAAAAAATTCATGGATAGCATGGCTGGGGTCGCCTTGATGTTGTTGCTTCGCTTGCTCCGAGCAGTATTTGTCTTGAGCGGAATTGCCCTCCCCTCCCCCAGAATACGCGGGGCAGCCTGAATACCTACGCTCATGGAGATCTTGGGTATCTTGGTCATGGGTGCTCAGCGAGGGATTCTCCGTCACCAGGGAGTGCTGGTTCCCTCCTGGGGTAGTTCTTCACTTAATTCTGTTACCATCGTAAGCAGTGGGGGGAATGGGTCCTCCGGCCACTTGTACTCAAGAAGCGAAAGGCGGAGGTAACTCTCTACTTCACGTTGGTATTCTGTGAAGTCGTGGTACCTATCCGGTTTGAGCCGGCCCAATCATGCGACTGCAAAATCTGCCGCGTGGCTCTACCTCTGTTAGATCTATAAGGATCTTATTAATTTTAGGCCATTAAAAACATGACTTTAAAAAATGAGTTTCGCAAATCAGTTCTTCTAATCTAAAAAGTTGTGAGATCCCGTATAATACCAAGTCGGTTTATTTATTCAGTCCCTACATAAAGTTTAGTCTGTCTTAAGTGATTACGCTACTTAGCTAACCTAACAACATCTTATAGTGACCATATCAATATTAAAAAGCTTTTATGTTTTAAATAAATAGATTAACTTGGCTATCGTGAGAAAACACAATGTATCTCACAAGTAATCCATACTGTATAATAAATTTGATTGTGTAGTGCGATTGGCGACATGGATCTCACAACCTTTTTTACGTTAGAAGAACTGATTTTCGAGACTTGTTTTTTACAAGTTATGTTTTTAATGGCATCTCATTTATTTTTGTGGTAAATTCTACTTCTTGAATACCAAAAACGTACTTACTTACAACTAGTATTCAATTATATTATATTTATACCGGTACACTGATTCTTTTACTGCAAATATAAATTTGTAATCCTATATATTTATATAAGATTACGAAGTTATTTATGCAGTAATTGTATTTAGGAAACTAGACCCAAATTGCAAAATATTTTAATTTTTCCTTTATTTATACACTAAAAACCACTTATATTCCAAAGTTGAAACTTCTTTTTCTGCTAGAAGTGCTTCAGAGTTTTGACGATCGGTCAGTCAGTCAGTGAGTGACAAAATCAAGAAACTTTGACTTTCTGATTCTTGAACTACCTGGTTCATATTGAACGAAATTTGAAATATACCATGTTTATATAATGCCTGCTTGGTTACTCAAAGTTCAGGCTTCTAATTTTATCCACAACGACACAACGTTATAGGGGGTCGAAAATGGCCTGAGGTGGTTCGAGAAAAGGATGGTACGGCCGTGCCGTTTTTTGTTGCTCGACTTCGCGGGTCACTGCCGTGCCCCAGATCAAACCAGTCTTCGTTCATTAGCTTTTGAAGTCCAAGTGTGACGCGTGACAGAATCAATTTTTTTATGGATAAAGGATAATATACGAACACACAATCCACTTGATGGCAAGTGGATAAATTAGCCCATTAACATTTACAGCTTCCCTTGATAAAGAACCTAAATACCGATGCGTTGTGATTCCTGAGAACTAAGATAGAGGATAAGATAGAGTCGTTTCTGCTAAAAAGAACCTTCAGTTCTCTTCACTCATTATCGAGACACGTCAATATTAAGCTGCTATTTTGTGCTGC